TGGTGCAGTTGTGACCCAACAGGCATTGCTATTCAGATTCCCATGTGGATGATCACACACGAAACTGCTTGTACAAATTCCCCCCGGCCCTCAATTTGTGAGCAGTGGCTTCACATAAGAAAGTATATGAATACTTGGCTCATAAATACTGGTTTTAGTCAAATGTCCTAATCTCCTCCAAAGACAAGAACCCACTTCAGCTTATGGATTTTATCCAAAGTTCCCGTTCTTCACTGCTTACAGATGTGAAGAAAACCAGCTCATCAAAGAACACAGTCCACTCCCCTGATGGCACAGCTGACCACAGTCGCGACATGCTGCCACGCCATAAAGAGTACAAACACTGCCAGTGCTAACCCTGAATGTGACAATCTTTGAGGTTATTGTTTTAGCAGACTTTCCTTGCTGGGTTTGACTGGCTCCCTTATTCCTTCGCTTCCTTTGTGCAAACAAAACATACATTTTGCAAGAGTCTGCTAAAAAGTACAGATAAGCCATAATCAGAAACTGCGATTAGAAATTACTGCAAATGGAAATCTGTAACTGAATTTCTAAAATTTATAAATTTCAGTCTTTTTTTGGTACACAAAAGTTACTCAAACTTCTGGTATTTCTTTAGGAATTTCTCTTACTCACAGTCTACCTCCACTATTCTGTTTCAATTCTTTTTCCTAGATTTTTTTTTTTTTAATTGCTCTCTTACTTGTCATATTTGGTTCTCAACAGTGAGATATTTTTTCTGGCATTAGAACAGCTGGACAAGAGATCTAAATTTTTAAAGGCAATTAGCCTTAAAAAATTGGCTGAGAGGAAAGAAGGGTAGTTCTTATATTGTTTTACATATAAAAGCAATCCCTTACTGTCCTCTAGTGGAGCAGTTCCTATCCTCACGGACACTCACTGCCTTACAAAAAATTGTGCATTGCCACAACATTCAACTGTACGTTGTTCACTCTAGTGTACCAAGAATCATCTCTTGCATTTTTCAAATACACTTCATGCATTTGAAATGCTAACGAACTCTGATGTAAGCAGAAGCGAGCATCAAATGGCAGTCTAACAGTAGGTGACAACAAGCTTTACAACTACAGATCGGCTGATACAGGGACACACGCCATAGAATCGTAGAATGAGTCACAGAATGGTTTGGGTTGGAAAGGACCTTAAAGATCACCCAGTTCTAACCCCCCTGCCATGGGCAGGGACACCTTCCACTAGACCAGGTTGCTCAAAGCCTCATCCAGCCTGGCCTTGAACACTTCCAGGGATGGGGCATCCACAGCTTCTCTGGGCCATGTACATAGTGACATAACCCTTAAGCTATTCTAAATTGCCACACGCAGACCAAAAGCAGGGTACGTCACATTTTGAAGGGGAAATGGTATCTCAGAGTAAGACTCTCTAGTAAACATACTGTGGCATTTTGGTAGTATGGAACACGTAAGTATGGCCAGACTGAGGGACACCTGAAACACAGATACTTCTGCTGGGATGCTCTCCCAGCTTCCTGTAAGCTAGACTTCAAAAGTCCTGAGGCAGTGGCATTATCTTTAACACCTCCTTGATGACTTCTTTCCACACGGGATTTTTCAACCTGCCGAAACTTTCTGTATCCGTTAACATCCTGCGGCAGTTTTCCCAGCACAACCCAAGGTTCAGTAGGGTTATGCAGGAAGATGTTCCTTTCCATTTGTAACTCAACCTGCAGCTTGATGCCCCTTAGTGAGCAAGGCCTCCTACTTACTGTTCCCACACTTCATGCCTTTATTGGCGTCTAACACACCCCTCCTGTGTCTCCTTTTCAGACTGAATCTTACCTTCTGCTTTGCAAAGTCCCTCCTCCCGTTCTATATTCTAGTTCTACTTGCACAGTGAATAAATTCACCAACTTTCTACTCTGCCCTCCACCCTTTCTCAAAGCACTTACAAACAGGCTGAATATAACAGGTCTCGGCAGAACCACACGGTAATTTCTGCCTGCTTTACACCTTTAAACAGGCATCACGTACAACCAAACCTATGTTTATACCAGGACAGGTTGATACTACGAGCTGTCAGATGAACCATGCTTTCACGCCTTCAGCGAGTCTAAGACCACCAGCGGAATGACTTGCCTTCAAAAAGTATTGATTCTTCGCATTGTATTTACCCAACGTCTGCAAATCTTGTTCATTACACTCTTGCCAGTTATCCCACTGTTTCCAGCACTTCATAAAACTAATCCTGGCTGCAGCTCTACTGACCTCCTTGCAGTCTTTCTTAAAAACTGACGGCAGAATTGTCACTTTGTACTCCTTGACCATCAAAGCTGCTCTAAGTGAAAAGTTCCATGTTAGCAGTTTCTTCTCTCACTTTCGAATCCCTAGGAATAGTCTCCATTCCTGGCAGCTTGCTGACACACGTTTCATTGACCTTTTCTGCCATTTCAGCTTACAACAGCTCTTCCCACCCTCCCTGCAAAGAAAGGTTCTTCAGCACTTCCAAAATGAACATCAGTGCAAAAATACCAGCTTGTTGCCTCACCTTTAAGTGTCCCCTACGTGTGCGTGTATAGAAAAAAATAACACACATGCATAAAAAATAGAAAGTACAGATACATTTTTAACTATGTATGTAAATTATAGTATTTGTACTTTCTATTCTCATATTTGGGTTTAAGGCATTTAAATCGTTGCTTGCTTTACGATCTCTTGTTAAAGAGATTTCTCACTGGTTGAACCTAAGTCTGTACGCTGCTTGCACATTTTATTCTATTCTAGAATGCTATTTTATCCTTAGGTATCTCACAGTGATCTTTGGCCTGCCTGCCTATCTATGCAAAAGCACTACCCTGCTTCTGTGACACTGTGTGCTTTTACTCTCCAAATGCAAGTACGAAATTACATCTCCTGCTAAAAATTGCATTTAAAATACTCCTGGAGATTCCTTCATAATCCAGTGGACAGCAACGGTCATCACCTAGGAGACCTCCGTGCACAGCTGTCATCTGGATTTAGAAATCATAATGCTTATCTCCCCATCAATGAGACAGATACACAAACAGATCCACATTAAGAAAAAAAATTGGATATTCTAATATAAATGCTGAGGAAAACAGAGTGCTATACATTTAATAAAAAAAATTAAGGAAGACACTTAGACTACATGGTTTTTATCCCTCCAAACTATTAACAATAACAAATTTAATACAGCTTTATTACAAGTAGATATAACAATTATAGCCAAAATAGAAAGGCGATATAAAAAAATCCAGTGCAAAATAAAAGCACCCTACAACGTCTGCATTTCTGTTCCCTTTGACGGGCATTTAGACCCTGCAAGAACAACTGATTTCAGTGACTTCAAAGCACTTAGTCACTGACACGAAGTTTAGACGGGATTTGCTGGAATTTTAGCTGTTGACTTTGAAGAAAAAAAAGGGAGACTCTGTCCAATAGGTGCAAAAATTAATACAAAATGTATTAACACAATATGAAACAAACGTACATTAAATAGTTTTGTTTCCTGGTACATCAGATTTCCAAATGAATTTTATAAAATTTACATATTTAATGAGATGATTTATCTATCATTGTGGAAAAAACAGTTCTGTATTTCAAGTTTATATTAACTATAAATACCTAAGGACAGGAAATATACTCTTCAAGTTGGCGTGCCTTACTTCCCCATCCTTTATGTCTTCTGCTCTTTGCCTTTTGGAGAAAACATTACAGCATAAGGCTGCCGTCTTTTTGGCCGTTGACAGGGAGCAAGATCCTCCTTAATATATCCTTCAAAGAATAAGAACAAATCTGAGGTAAGAAATACATCACAAAAACACACATTACTTCAGTTTCATTTTTTGTTTATCCTCAAAAAAATGACTCGTGGTTGTTTTTTTTCCCCTTTGACGGCAGTTGGTTCTCACTTGACAAAAAGTAAGGAGATCCCACGGGGCAATGTCATTCATAAAAACTGCTGCTTTCTAGCAGACGATGGCATTGTAAAGCGACACAGATAATACAGAAGAAAGGAAACTATGAATCGTCCACCTATGAAAAACAATTGCATTTTGCATTGTCTTTTCTACAGAAGATTTTACGTTAAGAGGCATTCGTTATTCAAACATTTGTAATGTGGTGGGAAGTCAGTGCTGCAAATCCAGCTGACTAATAAAAATCACTTTAAAATGTGTTTCCATGTCACACAGAGGAAACTTCAGGCACATGTGCTTTGTGGGTCAAACTAGTACATCCCTCTGTTTCGAGTGCGTTCTTATCCATTAAAGACTCTTCCATCTGGAAGAAGGCAAACATGAACCTATGGATCAAACACACCTTGAAAGCTCTCCGATAAGAAAAGCGTATAGAAAGTTTCTGTAACATGCTCAACTTAGCTCACACTGACAGTAAGCAGACATTTAATGCAAATCATCCCAGCACCTGGCTTTTGTCAAACCCTTCGTGTTTATCAGCACCAACATCCACTCAAGTAAAAGCAGTAGATTCCTATGTCATAGCTGGAAAATGTGGTCCATACAGCTCAGTTATTTAAAAAACCAAACAAACCCAAAACCTTGATTCTGGTTCAAGATACCAACCAGAAGTAGAAAATACATCCTTTGTACTCTACTACTGACCGACAGCTGCAGTTGCTCATGATGGCAGCTCTCTGGTGTCTTGGTGTTCTTCCTGTGCTCTTCTACCATATGGCTTCTTACCAAGAGAGGGCTGATCTAAATGCTGCTGAGGACCACTAACAACTGAACAGCTCTTACTCTAGCAGAACAAGGAGGTAAGAAGCTACTTTTAACGAGGCTGCAAGCAGATTCCAAATGGGTAGTGACAGACTCTCTCCCTAACAGGGTATCTCGATCACCTGACATTACAAATGGACATGCCTAGTCTAGACCAGCTTTCTCATCGGCTGGAACAGGTAAGAGGCAACCAGGTTGGAGGAAGAAGGGACTGGGATTTGTCCATCTTCAAAGACAATGACTGAGAACCAAATGTGGTTCTAGGGTGGTTAAGAACTCACTCCCATTACTTAAGGTAAAGGAGGAATGGATTAGCCTCAGACAAGCCCTGTCTAACTGCATAAACCAGAGAGGAAAGAGACTACTCAAAAAGGAAGTGGCAATTCAGCAGCATTCCTGAGGTGCTGGCTAGCTGGACTGGGGGATTCACTTTCCCTTATGTGATGCCAGAGATAAATTGATGGAAAAAACAACAAGAACCATTTTCCTGAAGCCTAACCAAGCCCAGGGAAGCTTAAGAGCCTGCAAATGCTATGACTAGCTTAACCCTTAGCAGTGGATATTTGAGAAGGGGGAACTTGACCAGGGCTTCATGAGTAAACATGACGTTTGTCCCCCACAATAGTGGGAAGGCATAAAGTTATGAGCACTGTGTCAAAATAACACATATTTCTTGGAAATACAGCTTCAAGTTTAAATTAACTCAGCTCGGTATATCTTGATTAAGCAGAATGATTTGCACTCTGAAACTTACTCAAGTCCTTAAAAAAAAAAAAATCAAGGCTCCCCATTCTGAAAGATCAAAAATGATAGTGCAACACTATCACACAAGAATGCATACACACCTCTAGCTACACTTTTCTATGTTCTGAGAACAGATAGAAATAAGTGAAAATTAATGCTTCACAGCTAATAACAGCCTTTGCCTTTGAAAATGTTGACCAAATTCTTGGTTTGGTTCAAAGAAATTTAGTGTTTTAATTAAGTTCTGTGAAAATCACAATTATTTCTGCCTTCTCTATCTACATTCTAAGAAGATTTCCTTATATTCTAGTACAGAAGCTGCTAAAAAAAGACTGTATTAATTCAAAATAATGGCTGCTGATACGTAAACAGACCTCAACAAGACTGGGTGAGAAAGACTGCTTTATGAACTAGAGGTAATTTCAGGGAAACCTTTTATACACAAACCTCTTTCCACACAAGTTTGGGTGGAAGGAAATCCAACCTCCCAGAAATTTTCAGGAGTATTTGGAGGAATGTAGCGAAATCTGTGTCTTGAACAGGCAGCCAGTTTCTTCTCTCTCTCTTCTTCTGGAATGTCTGCATAATACTGAACATTAAGAAAAAAAAAATCCAAGTTAACAAATTCATACATATAGAACAACTGATTGACATTGTCAATCACTGTTTATTAACAAAGTTATCTAAAAATAACGGTGAGGATAGAAAACAATAGAGTTGTTATCCAAATGACACACATGTGGCCATTAACCTAAAAGCTTCCTGAATTTACAGATTAAGTATAACCTTGTAAAGATAACAAACTTGCCACCATAGCTTTTAACATACCATAAATACAAGGTTTAGTCATGCGTACAATTACTTATGCCAACAGTTTTACTGACTCATTTTACAAAGCTAAGTAGCACAGGTGTTGAAATAGATGAGAATTTTCTACTCAGCTAAGTTCCAGCTCACATTTACAAATAAAATAAAAAAGTGAAAACACACACTATAAAATCCATGCTGCAGAATTATTTCCAGTGTCTAAACTTGAGTAGTAACAGCAAGCTTAAGACAAAATTCTTCCTAATTTATTACCCTCAAACTAGGAGTAAATAAAGAGCTAGTTTAACTGACTGACTGACACAGGGACTCCAGAAACTATCTGCCAGCTGAGCATTGTCTGGGGTATATCATAAGCTGGCTAGCTGCTCTTTCATCTCTGTCAGCTGTACTGGAGGCTGCAATGAGAAAAGTATATACGCTCCCCCAAATTTTTGCTGGGTGTTCCCATGAGTAGCATCACAGAAATATGGGGTTTTTTCATGCATTTTTCTACTCTTTCAAGTTGCCATTCTAGTCACAATCTCCTAAAAGTAACAATCTGGCACTCAGATATCAGAGTACCAAAATATTTCAAAGCGAATACATGGTTTGATTCAAGTGGCAAGCCAACAGATACCATCTGGACTGCACAAGAAACCTGACCCTCATGAAAGCCGTAGAACAATTCTACTGAAATGACAGTCTTACAATTCAAAAACGCAAACTAAAGTTTGAAACCTCATTCAATCAGCTGGAAAATGATGTAGACTGGGGAAAAGTCATGAATGGAACAGAATACCTCTGTCACAGATTACTTCCTGTCTCAATCTACTGGTAGGATTTCAGAAAACCTACGTACTTGGAATCATAAAAGTACACTAAGAAATTCCTATGTCCCTACTAGATGGCAGACAAAGTATAAAATAGGCATAAAAATTGTGCTCCAAAAAGTCACAAGATAAATACTGATGATGGTATAGAAAAGAGAAATCCCAGCTCTGAAAACATTAGTGATGAAACTGCATGAACCTAGGAAAAGTAGACATAGTTCATTTTGTGATTCTGTAGGCTGTGGGAGCTACAACTCTGCCTGACACTGAGGTACGTTTTCTTCCCCCCTCCAATCAACTCAGATTTCTTGCCATTCTACAAAGTGTGATGCCAGAACATATTCTGCTTGCAAAGCCCTTATTAGTACAGGAATCTGATCTAGTAACACGTGGGTCTGCTGCTCAAGAACAGACTTTCAAGTTATTAGCAGATTGTAGCCAAAATTTCAGATTACTGAGCTGTCTACTACAAAGTCCTGGTACGCAGGATAAACCACCAGTTCCAAGGATAATATAGAGGAATGGTTATGAGCTCCTAGTAAAATATTCTTCAAAACTGATTGTGTATATGCCCAGTAGATTCCCACACCCTTGACAGCAGATCCCCCTTCAGTCACTGAATTTGGAGACACGTAGTTTGAAAACGTTTCCCACTGTCTTACATAACATTCCCTTAAAAAGGAAAAAGTCTATGCCAAGACCAGAATTTAAACAGATGGGTATCAGCAGCTTGGGGATTGAATCAGACTAGGGTCACTTATGCAGCTGGAGTTCAAAGATCCAGCTGGAAAAATGTCTGTGTCACTCGGTTGACGATCTAGAGACTAATGAAAGACGACAAACAGGTAATTATCATGTAGTACATATCAATTTTCACTGATAAAAGCTAACAAACAATACGGTGTTAAGTCAACACAATTAATAAGAATTCTACACTATCTGCGGAAACCAAGTAGATTAATAGCTGAGTCTTACTTACTGCTAATTATTTAGCAGTGCACTTCATGTTTGTCCTTTAGATAGCCTGCGGTTTTAGAAACCAGCCTACTAAAAGTTTGCAGTGTGCTGCATATTTCTTTTTTTTTTTCTGGAATTACAATGTTTATGATTGGTGAGGAATATTTGCAGATCAAACAATGAAAAATACAATAATTTTGTAAGAACAGAAAATAAAAAGACCAATCAATAACCAAGCTAATTATGTATTCAAAAGAAACTAAAAAGGAACCTTGGGGTTTATTTTTTGGCTTTTTTAGAAAACTATTAGGGTTGAGAAAGAATGAGGAAGTTATACACGTATACATGTCTGTTAAACAGCAAAAAGATCTCCCAGCTGTATTCTAGATTGACGTCACTATCCACAGCCTTTTCAACCAACACAAAACACTCAAGCTAGGCCTTTCCATGTGTGAAGATATGCAAAATCTCATCCTGCAGCAGCTTTACTGTGAAAGAATTGTTTACAGAACTCTACAGTCTGCAGTCTCAAAGAGAACAAGCCCTTAAATGAGTTCCTCTCATTAGTTTACCACAAAGTTACTCACCGAGTAATTTCTGCAATCTGTCTATACATAAAAACATCCGACTGATTCTCTGGCTTATCTAAAGCGCAGCTAGGCCTAACAGCCACACTAACAAACGTTACTTTTACAGGCTACCAGTAACTCCTGTATACAGTCTTTCTGTGATAGCATCACCAAGTCTTAACAACCCAAACAAGAGCTCTTATCAAACGTTCTACACCGTAAAGGGAACACGATGCTTCCACAAGGTTCTAACGCAGGGACTTACAAAGGATGACAGCAGTCCGCTACGGCACGTGCCAAAGTCAAATCTCTCACATTGTCTCAAAATGACAGATAATTCTCCCTTCTCTCATACCGCATGCAGCACGTGGCAAGAAACAATTTACTGATTTCTACCCATTCCCTAAATATTAAGCTTTGGAGGCTTTTCAAACCAGTATGACTAATACGTAAGCCAAGACTTTTTGATGCTTTGTCTAATACTCCCTTTTTCCACAGGCATTTCATTCAAAGCTAGTTCTCTTAGAGCGCAGTGGCACAGCCAGCATTCCATACGTGCCAAAGGATCCATCTCGAACGGCATGGGCTTAAAAAGCCAAACGTTTCTGAAGTTTAATGTCAAAACCTAATACTGTAAAATTGGAGCTGTAAGTGTTTCCAAACACCAGTTACCACTCTAGCTTGCCAGAAAGTAACAAGAACTGGATTTGCTGAGAGAAGATCTGTAGCTTACAGACAGCAAGTTAAAACATTTAACACATCTCTCTTGGGCCAAGAAACAGACTGCAGGTTTGGCATTTCTTGGTTTTCTTGTTTTCTTTCAAACTCTTCAAGCCATCATACTTTTGGAAATGATATTTATAGTTGACTCTAAAACTTAATTACTTTTTCTTAGTGAGTTTTACCAAAACTATTTCTCAAGAAGGTGTTTTTGTTAAAAATACAGGGTTTTTTTTTTTCAGTTACGTAAGTGTGAATTATCTACAAAGGCAATGCCAGGAGAATCTATGAAAAATGTTGGTTCTATATGGGTGTGGAAATTAAATGAAAAGATTCCAGAGAATCCATCATTATTCAGTCATTAGTCCACACTTCTGGAGTCATAATGTGTAAGATCATCGCCTAATTAACTCCAGCCTGAAAGAGTCTATTAATGACCAAATGAAATATGTCCTTATTACACATGCAATTACTTCAATATTTTACCCCTCTTCCAAGTATCTGAAAGCAGTTCAGAAATTTCAAAGGGAGGAAAGAAGCCTAATGTGAAACCTAAAATTACATACTTTTTAACCTGTTAACGTAAATATTTTTGTATTCCTTTGCACATATATACACACTGGCACCTGTGCTGGTGCAGTTATCTGAAAATGCAGACATGTCAGAAAACAAGAAAAAAACCCCACCCAAGTCAAGATATCTCTCTACAGAGGTATAACAGGACACAGAACTTACTTATTCCAATACCTGTAAAGTTCATTAGAGCTTTTGAACTCGAGTTTAGAAACTTGTAATCATTCTTTGACCAGATAATGTATTTTTTGATTAGTGATAATCTTACTGGAACCATGACGTGAGAAGTTAGAAACTTCTCACCTTATACAGATGCACACAAAAAAAAAAAGTAAGACTTTCTGTGTTACATGAACCTACTAGTTACAAGCAAACCAACCAAAAATTTAGAACAGCCCTGGTAAACACTTCTCTGCTGCAGTAGGTACTGATGGTGATGCAGCCAGATTTGTAATTTCAACAGCACTTTAGCACTTCGATACTAGCAGCGTTACAAGAATGGAAAACCGACCAAATTTTAAAGCACTACTTACTATTTCACATTCCTTGCAAGTATGGCCAAGCAATTTTCTTCTTTCTTCTTTTTTCCGAATAACCTCAATATGAGGAAAATCTAGCACAGTATTCTTTCTGAAAAACACAAATGTTTTCACACGATAGTACATATATTTACCCTACATGGCTGGAAATCTTTGGTTTTTAGAACACAATGAAGAAGTCTCAAAAAAAGAAAAAACATCAGAAAATGCCTGCAAAACCCAATCCTACTGCATTTCATAGCTGACCAGGACTATTTTTGCAACCAAAACAGTTCCAGGACTTGTTTAATTTAACATGACCTTTTACACAATCAGATGTGCACCTCCTCATTATGGCTTTTCATGGTGTGAAAGTAATTACTAGGTCAAATTTATGCAAATATAGATCTTCCATAGCATGCTTATTTTGTCAGTGACAGAGTTGTGCTTGCACCAATTTCTGCAAGAGGAACACATGTTGTGGTTCAAGAACAGAACTAACAGACTCTTTTCAACTTATATGCTCAGAGAACACTAAACAAGTTTTCCTCTATGAAGAAAACACATGTTGAGGTAAAAAAAAAAAGCTATCAAATATGTAACTGAAGGGGTCGGTATCATTAGGAAATGCAAATTCAGACTCCCAGTGATGATTATACAGAAAGGCAATAGAGGAAGCACCAAGAGGTACAGTTGTTAAACATTACTCATTTATTGCCCAGAGGAAGGGACAAAAATGCCAGAGAAGGAAAGGTTTTTATTTGTACAAGCAACCCATAGGATCTTGGCTCATAAACTCATGCACGACCACATGTCTGTAAGAAACAACATGGATTACAAAATACCGCATTCAATAAAATTATAAAAAGCAGGAGCAATCCCTTCTCTTCAGCAAATGTCATAGGCAGGCATCTCAATGTATTTATTCCCCCCCCCCTCCCAGCTTTTATCTAAGGCTTTTGTCTAATGCACTAGATCTTTTACTCGTGCAGCTTCAGCCGCTAGTACGTTACACACAAACACGTTTACATTATGGAAGAAGAAGTTCCCTATAGGGAGGATATAAAAAGCCTTAAAATACCTACACAGAACAAACTAAGTTACCTTTCATCACTTTTGAAATACGGCTCCACAAAAGCTTTCTGCTTGGCTTTATCTTGTTTATCGTCATGCTCTGTAAATACACATGCGAAACAAAAATTACATGTCATATAAGGTTAACAGACTGCCTGGAGAAACGTTTGTAAAATTATTAGCCAGCTAGTAAGAAATACAAGAATGCCATGTACATTCAGTCTGAGACAACAGATTCAAACAGATAACAAAAATAATACAGAATCGATTGAACCAGAGATCAAAAAGCATTACTGGAGCAGAAGGAAAACAGCAGCAAGACAAATTAAAAAAACAGAATAACAAAGGAAAGGTTGCTTAAAATACAAAATACTGCAAAGCCTTTGACAGCACCTAGGACAGGGTGAAGAAAGAAAGCAAGTAATCTGCAGCCAAAAACTGGTGTTTTCTGTAAGAGTCACTTTACTGCACGGCTCCGGTGACAACTCCCATAACACATCCCTTCTTGGTGTGGTGGCTATATAAATGAACTACCAAAATAATTGTCCCATTGGTTTATGTTATGTCCTTAAAATGAATAAATTTTCCCCTGAATTTAAGAAAAATGAACTCATGGTTTATTTGGCATCTTTGTTCGTGGAGAACAGAGCCTGATTTCAAAAAAAAAATCAACTTTTGCGGTTTATCCAGGCTAATAAAGACAAAACAAATTATATCCCACTCTTTAGTCTCTTGCTTGCTGCTGTTATTCCCTTGTCCTGCTCTTCATCATAAGGAGTTTCTTTTTCATCACAGGCAGAAGGACTATCTTCTGGCAGGCAGGATTCATATTCTCCGAGGGTTGTCCGATCAAACATTTCTGTGAAGGTATCATGCTTTTTTTTTTCTCCTCCTATTATAAAAAGCATAATGAACATCCAAATCAGTGTCTCAACAATTTAAGTGAAGAAAGCGTACTTTGACTGAATGCGTATCAAAAGAACTAACATTTACTTCCTGCTCCAGTACTGCTTAACCCACCACAAGCAATACATCCATTCTTCTGGCAACTTCTCTGTCAGTCTTTTAAATCCAGACAATGCTCATCTGTTTTTCATACACATACCTCAATTAATTTTCTAAAATTTAATTGATTACTTCGCTATACCTTTATTTTAATGCATTAAATGTTTGTTTTGGTAATTATGAAGTTATCCAAGCAGAAGGAAATACTTCCTGTGGGTAGCAGACAAACTACAGAAACGTGATCAAGTTGCAACAGCTTAAAAAAAACCCCAAAACACACCGTTAAAAGCCACTGCCTTGCAGCCATGATTCACCACATATCATAAATTGTGATATAAACACATCTGGGATTTATTTTAAGTATACTAGGCTTATTTATATGCCATTAAAAATAAATTAGTCTTCCCATAGGAAGTCTGATACGATTACATGGCAAACTTTCAAAGCTGTTTGTTGTAAGAGTGACTTGCAGGTGAGATCAGAACTACTACATAGTTAAGTATTTAACTCTAAGCACTGCAAAAGCATAGCTACTGGTTCCATCTCGGCACAAATCCTATCATTTTCTTAATCCAAGTTAAAAAAAGCTCAACAGCAGACACTGATTCTGCTAGGAAACACACCAACCTTTGTAAGCTACAAAAATATATCAGTGCTGTTTAACTGCAAACCATTTTCTCCTATCCATACCGGAGAAAAACAAAACCACCCTTCACTCCTCCTTCCTCCTCCTCCAATAAAAAAAGCAAACCAAAGGGGAAAGAAGGGAAAAAAAAAGTCTTACTTGGACTGCTTTCCTGGCTTTGCTCTTGATTTTTCATTTTTAATAGCACATTTTCACTGACATATGTGTAGTCCATATCCACAACTTCCTCTTTGACTCCTGACTGAGAGTCATCCTAAAGAAAGCAAGCAAAACACGACTATTGCACTCAGAAGCAACGGGTGTAGCCAGTGTCACCGCCGTACACCTGAAACGCTTTCACAACAGTTACTGCCATATTTCTGGACACTTTCTGTCGTGCTTTTTCTGCAGGATAATGACACAAAATCTACATAAGAGAATCACATGCTTTGCAATTCAAATGTGAAGCATTTAACTGGTGGATTTACATTACCTGATGGGCAAGAAATGCCTTAAAAGTTTTCATATTAAGTTCTACAAAGATAAAAAGTAACAATAAAACATACAGAAATTAAAACCCAGTCAAATTAATACCATTTAAGAGAGCCTTTAAGTGAGACAAAACAAATAGCCTTCAGGAAAACTCTGAGATCCTGCTGACCAACCTGCACCGTACTCAGAGAAAGGTAATAGTCATAATAATCTGCACATTTCCTATTACTGAGCATAAAGAGTTACCCCAGTGAACATCTTCACAGGAAAAATTACAAGATTTAGAGTAGCCACCTGGCCAACACTGATACACAGTAGAAATGTTTTAGGATAACTGTAGTGCATAAACAAACATTTCAGCAGTGCAAACAAGTTATCAAACAAGCTGAATTTAGATTTTTGTTAAAAAGTGGTTTTGGTCTGCCAAGAATAAAGTTCAAAATAGTACTTCTGTGGGATTTTTTCAATATCATAGAGCATGCGGACTGGTTACACAAGTTTACCTTCGTATCGATCACAGTAATGTCCATTTTGTACTGTGAAAGCTCAGCTCCTGGGTCTATGCTCCACTGGAGGTTTTCTAAGGAAGGTTTATCTTTCAAGTCTGGATGCAGAGAATATGAGAAAAAAGGAAAATAATCAGAATCCAATTCCGTTCAACAGCGTCCTATAGTGACTAAATTATATGTCAGCTTTCCTTTTATCAATTAATTTTTTGGGTTTAAGGATTGATTTTCTCAAACAACAAACATGCTCATTTCCTGTAAATCATACTTTGTCTGAAGAGTTAGAAATAGATCTCTACGGTTTTTTTTTGTTACAGTCAGGGAGCACACCGCTCCTTTGTGTTTGCATGAGGTATGCAGCACATACTTGATGTACATAGTACAGAGATTTTACCTGCAAGAGTATTGTAATACTGGATAGAAGACACTAGGTTGGTAAGAATACAAAAGTCAGATCTTAGAATACAAAAGAGTACAGAAGTGTCTGGTCACTGTTCCAGAGATGGCTCTTGGTTTTTCTGTGAAGTAGAGGTTTAGATTCCAAGCTACATGGCCACACCAATGCTGACAGATTTTTATTTATTTATTTATTAAATTCACAATGCAGGTATTTCTAAATAAAGTCAGTGTATCAGGTCAGCTAAGGAGTACAGAAGCAGTGATTTTGCAATGCCAGTTTAAAGAACAAAAAGTTTTCAGACTGGGACCACTTGAAAGAAGACACAACTTCTAGGAAGAGTATTTGGCAGCATCTGTTCATTATCACTAAAGGTACAAATTTCTTCAAGAGATCATCAGGGATCACAAACAAATATTTAAGAAGGGCTTACCCTTACACTCAAGTACAATTTTCAAACATTTCATATAAACTGTTTAAACTTCCTGAGATGTTATTGCAGTATCTGTTATTCACATGCTGCAGAAAACAACAATGCCAAATAAAAGAGACAGAACAAGATACCTAGCCTGTTGAGTTTACAGCCAAATGCCAATTTATTATATTGTGGGGAAAGAATGCCAGGCAGACACAGATTGAAAACATGGGGGACAACCTTGAGAAGTCCTGAATAGGATGAGACTAAGTTAGAAGCAGAACACAGAAAGTGATTGAAGTGGGAGAAATGATCAGAAAAATTATATTCAACCATAGCACAGGCTGGAGGGGCAGGGGGCAATAAAAGGAACATTTTCATCAAGTTACCTTGCTCATTTTGCAGTGCTTTATTTTTTGATAGTCTACAAGGGTTTGGTTGAAGTACAGATGCTGGTTCAGACTCTCCATGCCCTGTCCTTGTTTTCTTTCTATTTGGTACATGGCCACTGGCAACCTAACAACATATTGCAATTTTACTATTTCCCAAAACTTAAATACAGTATTACAAAGGAAAAGGAAAAAACCAACCAACCAAAACGCACGTTAAAGAGCGTACCTTCACATCATCAAAAAGTTGCTCTGTCTCTGCAGAACTTGGCAGTGGTGCACTTTTGAAGGTAGGAACTTCTTTCGTTTGGATCTGGTTTTTCTTATCTGGGAATGCCCTTCCCAGCATTGTCTCTCTTACATAGGATTCCTCTTGTATATCTCTGCCAAACAAACAGCTCTCATTGTTGGCATTTTGAATGGGTGATGAACCTTCAGGAACAGGCTTCCCTAGCTGTGAAAAAATGTCATGCAGAGTCACCTGTTTCAGTCTATTTTTACAGGTCTCCTCACTGCCTTGTTTTTTGTCTTGGCAACGAACTCCAGAGAAGCGATCAGACAGATCCAAGGGCTTATCAGCTGTATGCTCCCCATTAAGATGCTGAACGTCTGATGGAAAGGGCACAGAGTTCTCTTTGTTGAAGGATGTTTTTTCACAGCTAATTGCATGCTCACCTTCAGCGTGCTTCCTCTTAGCACACCGGCTTTCTGGCTGCCTCTGGCGTACAAGAAGGAAATCGCTCTTGATCACCTCATTTTTAGATGCACAAGTGTTTCCAACACAGGTTATAGCCTCATCAGTATTTTTCACAACCATTTGCCTATTGATAGAGGCCTGACTGATAACTGAGCTGATTTCAGTTCCAAGATTCAGAGGTGCAACAAAAGCAACATCTTCAGATTTTGATCTACTTTTATGGGATCGGAAACTGGAAGGATTGTTGAAGAGGTTGGTTTTGAGATTAGGCTTCAGTCCTGAATCTAAAATACAAGAGGCATGACCTGTGCTTGAGTTGTTCGTCATACCGCCAGAAGCTCCAAAAACAGGAGAGGCTACCCGAGTATCCCAGTCAACATGTGGTGGAGTGTTCCGAGACAGATCTGAAAGACTGAATACAATGAGAGAGGAGATATTTTTCTGCAGTACATAGGTGGCTGGGAGGACAGAAAGGGATATACGAAAATTCTAAGTTTCCTATCTAAAGTGATCTACTTGAAAGCTGTCAGAGCTGTTAGTATTAACTGAAAACAGAAAGAAAAAGAAAAGGAAAATTTTTGGTCTGAGTACTGGCGCACTCAGAGCTGCAAAAGGCAAACAGACCTTGTTCTTCATTTTAGTATGGTGTGAAACTCCATTCCACATTCAACTGAGAACCAAGAACAGAATTAAGCCTACTTAGGAACCTCTTGTGCCAAAGGACACCTTAACTTCCGACGCAGTGAAATGAAGTGAGAATGGTTGTGACAGCAGTCTGTCTAGGTTCTCACACAGAACCAACAACTACCATAACAGATTCTCAGAGCTTCTGCAAGTGAAGGGAAAACGTGCAACCTTCTTTCAGGTACTCTGTTTTAGACTTGTCATCAATAAAACATACATTCAAGATGACAAGTTGGGGCTAAAAAAAGTTCAGCATGGACCACAACATCCTGAGGAGAGTTTGAAGGGCATCAGCCAACTGGTCCACAGAAAAGTTTGATCATCGTTTTGCTACCCCAGCTCCAGGCCCCTTGCCACCGAGTTTTGGGCCTCAGAATCGCTCGCAATAATAATAAGTCAGGGGTGGGGGGGACTGTGTACAGAGAAAGCCCAAATCAGACATTTGAGAACCAAGTAAAAGTGCACAGTTTTGCGTTCTGTTAGTTCCTTTGCTTCTAATGTTATTTACCTGAAAGAAGCCCATATAATATGAAAATACTTATTTCCATGTCAATACCTTTAAAGCAAATTGCTGTAAGATTTTAAATTCTACTTGAACCAGAACTTCATACAAGCCTGTTTAAAATAATATTATTATAACCAAGTAGAAACACACCCTAAATTGTTGTCATCACTTCTTGATTCAGAAGCTGGCTGTCTTCTTGAGTCTTCAGACTGCATGCTCTCTGGGGCCTGGCTCATAGCAGTATTAGTGCAGGGAGGGCTCAGTACACTCTGGGACTCCTTGCAAGCAGTGAAGGAAAATAAAGAAAGGAAGCATGAGAAGCTATTAGAATTAAAAATAAGAAATCTGCTAGATTTGCACTCAAATACTCTGAAGACCCATTCCAACTGAACCACTCAAAACTCTGAAAAATAATAAAAGTTCTAAGAGATGCAATTTTGACAAACAACTTCAAAGAAACTAAGAAATTTCATCAAATGCACACACACAAATAGTCTGCATACTAACATTTTCACTGTAGTTACCAAGCAAACCATCAAATAATCTCACCTGAATCACTAGTCTCATCATCAAATAATCTTTTTTAGTGTCTTAGACTTGATTATTGCACAAAAGGAGTTTAGCAAATCCAAGGATTTAGTCCTGTATTGGGTTTGCGTGAAAGGTTTTCACAGTAGGGAGGCTACAGCTGTGGCTTCTATAAAAAGCTCCTAAAAGCCTCCCCTGTGTCCGACAGAGCCCATGCCAGCTGGCTCCAAGATTGACCCACCGCTGGCCAAGGCCAAGCCAGTCACAGTTATAATGCCTCTCGGGTAACGTGTTTAAGAAGGGAAAAAACTAAAGAGAGATTTTTGCAGACAGAGAGCGCAACATGCGAGAGAGAACTCTGCAGACGCCCAGGTCAGTGGACAAGGTGCTTCTGGTGCCAGAGCAGAGATTCCGGCAGCCCATGGTGCAGCCCATGGTGAGGCTGGCTGTGCCCCTGCAGCCATGGACCATCATGGGGGAGCAGAGACCCACCTGCAGCCTGGGGAGGACCCGATGCTGGAGCAGGGGGTTGTGCCTGAAGGAGGCTGGGACCTCACGGAAGCCTGTGCGGAAGCAGGCTCCTGGCAGGAACTGTGGTCCCATGGAGAGAAGAGCCCAGGCTGGAGCCGGCTGGTCCCAAAGGACTGCACCCTGTGGGACGGACCCACACTGGAGCAGTTTGTGAAAAACTGCAGCCCTTGGGAGGCACTTATGTTGGAGAAGTTTGTGGAGGACCGTCTCCCGTGGGAGGGACCCCACACTGGAGCAGGGGCAGAGTGTGAGGAGTCCTCCCTCTGATCAGCAGAGACAACGTGTGATGAACTGACTACAACCCCTATTCCCAGTCCCCCTGCGCCACTCGGAGGGAGAAGGGAAAGAAAAGCAGGAGTGAATTTGAGGCCAGGAAAAAGGGAGGGGTGGGGGGAAGGTGGTTTAAGATTTGGTTTTAGTTCTCTTTTTTAACTCTCGTTTGGTTGGTGATAAATTATTTTTCCCCCAAGCTGAGTCTGTTTTGCCTGTGACAGTAATTGATGAATGACCTCTTCAAGTCCTTATTTTACACCACGTGATCTCTCCCCTGTCCAGCTGAGTAGAGGACTGATAGAGTGGGGGGCACCTGGCCCACAGCCAGGGTCAACCCACCACAAGTCCACTGTCTTAGTCAAACTTGAAAGCTGTATACACAGCAGGAGCTGTGCCTCTACACCCTCCTCTCCAAACCCTGGGCATGTCAGCACAATTGTATCTCTTTTTGCTAGAGCAATTCTGCAATGAGTAAGCAAAAGTAAATCAAAGTTGAGTTTACTGGAACTCTGAATACTTTTGCAGAATTTTAATGCAAAAGAGAAGAATACTTTTTAAAAATAACTGGCACTGATTATGTAAGAAATCTGGGAATACTACTTACAGATTCCTCTTGAACAGCAAGTCCAATTGTTTCTGCCACAACTGCAGCCAAGTTAAAAGATGGCTTTGGAACAGGATAGCCTCCCATCCTTGGTTTATCTTTATGAGTAGAAAGAACTCAAAATAAGTTACATATACCTTAAAATATCTTACCCCACTCACACAGATAGTACAAACACAGAACTAAAGATCACAAATTAAAATCGGTAATTATCATTTGATCTGTGTCAGACAAAAATCGCATCTGGAAGTGGTAGGTAGAGAAGGAGGGGCAAAAGAAGAATTGCTGATGAGAGCAAACTGCTGTATCATCACAGAGAAATATGCTTCCAATTTGAATACATCTCATCCAAATTAAAATACATAGACAAGTCAGTGTGAAAGTTGCTTTTTCAAACTCTCAGTCCAGGGCACGAATAGTCTGAGGAAAGCATGTAGAACAGTGATAATGGATATTTATACTAAAATGCTTGTGTTGCATATTTCCTAGGCGACACTTACTATTCCTGTAGGTAACACTAGCAATTACTCTTTCTGTGTTCTTAGTAGGAAAACAGATGAATTTCCCTTCTTTCAAAGGTTTAACATTTCTCCATTTAGGAAACTGGGGTAAGGTCACTACAACCACTACAACCCTGACCATCACGAATAATTTAAAAAGCTGATTCTCAGTCATTTATAGTTAAATACTTCACAGAAAAAACACCAGGGATACAGAAAGTTCTTGTCAAAGAACTGTTTATGGAGAAGGGCTTAAGACTTAAAGACTTGTCACAATTCACAGTTGCAAAAAAGGGAATAATTAACAGAAGCACTTCTAAATATTAACGTCAGACAGAAGTGCAATTCTTAGAATATCTTATCTCTTATACAGCTGGAAAAATCAGGTGTAAGACAGTTAGGTAAGTCACCTAAAATATAATGTACCTGCAGTAAGAGCTGCACTAAGCTTCTTTCTACTTCTTCACTCTAAGACCTGATGCTATGCCACTCACACATCTAGTGGCATACAGACAAGCATTACAAGATAGGCATTTCAGCAGCAATTCTGAGATTAAACATAGTATCTTGAGTTTAAAGAGAGAAACCATCAGTTGTTGATGAACCCTGTTTTACAGTGGTTTTGCCTTATTTTGAATGGAATTAGAACTAAATCTATTAATACACTTACTTGGTACAGGAGACAGTTGTGGATCACAGGTGTCTGTCACTAGTATCTCTTCTCCATGGTGACTGTTGACTTGTGTGGAATACAGCGGAAGTTTTCCAAACTCTAGGAGAAGATGTAGAAACATTTTCACATGGTGAAATCGGGTATCCTGTTGTGATAATTTCATGTAGATACAGACAACAAACCTGATATTAAAGGCACCCGAATGTGAATTTTGCTATGCCAGTAGATCCAGTAACTTAAGCACATCTGATTTTTATTCTGAGGTATCACTATGATAAATTACTCGCAAATATTTCATATTCATCCTACCTCTCACAAATATGAGCCTAGCCAGTCAGCCATCAAACAATACCGACATAAAATTACATCACTTTTTATACTAACCACATAGATTGAATGTGTACTTTCTATATTTGAGTTGTTAATATGGTAACAAATCTATTAAAGAGTGAACCATCCCAGGGAATAATTTTCTGCATCAGCTCAGGTAATGAAAAGGTGAAAACCCTGAGACTTTAATCATGACTAACTTTGTGCCATGTAGTCCTTTCTACCTGGACACCAACACCTTTTCACAGCCATTAACTGTGTTTACACCATTTCTGACATATTTAACTTTGGTTTAATTTAGTAGTTGATTTTTTTTATTCAGAAAATGGAGAGAAGTATGTATGTTTAGAAAGGAGAACTATTCAACAGCACTAAAATTACATGCTCAAAATAAAGGTGTGGAAAGAAGCTTTTAGTCAAGACTCATATTTAGATGTAATCACTTATTATTTAAAATACCCTTTTTTTTAATTCTACAAGATAAACGAACAAATTAAAAGCATGTGAATTATCATATTTCCTATGTATCATTAACATTATAAGCCTAATGTCCCTTATTTCACAAAAATATTTCTTACAGTTAAAATACATAAGAGCTATTTCTATGACATAACAGAATAAAGTTTAGAAATTAAACGTGCACGATAATTCCGGACTGAGACACATAACAAACGTAAATGGTGTAACGGTACCCGAAAAAGAAAGATCACGAGGCTGCTGAATTAGATATCTATCAGTTTCAGTGATACTACTTCAATTGTAGAATAATTGCTGAACACGGCAACATTTATTTCACTCCCCACTAGGTGGTGGCATAGCACAAGGCAAGCCCCGGCAGACTTCTAGTCAGTTTGGAGTTACAGAAGTGATACGGCTCGGAAAACTTACGTTTGCACATGGATGTGGATGAAGAAAAGTAGGAGGTTTAGATAAGCTTTGAGCATATCGCTGAGATAACAGTTATTGCTAAAGACATTTTTCCCAAGTCATGCAGTATAGCATAAATTGAAAAAAGCCAAGCAAAAACAACCCACGAGTGGGTTTTTTTTTCCCCGTTTCCACCCTTTGCAATCAAATTTATCACCTCTTTCTTTAGCCCTTGAAAATATATTTTAAAATTAAAGTAAAATACATTACTCTTACCACTGCTGCTTTCTGCAAGTTCCAAATCCGTGTGTGTATGCTCTGTGTATCGGATATGCCTATTCTCTTTTTTCCTTCTCATACGATTAACCACAGAAAATGAAGAAGTGAGGACTGGAGAGCCTGGAATGACTCCTTCTTCTACTTCCACTACTTGTTGCTTTTGCTCCCTGGAGACCAAATGAGGTGGTCACATGAAACCTCAAGTCAGTGAGAGGCAGAGCTTTCATTTCAGCAAGCAGGACAATCATATGGTTCAAGAAAGCAACAATTTAGAAAATACAGCCATCTCAGTAACATCACAGTGTAAAAACGTACTACCAGAACACAGTTTTTAGACACATCTAACAACAAATTCACACTTGCTCCATCAAGCCTAAGAACAGCATACAACCCCAGCTCTTCACATCTGAAGCCAACATTTAACTACTGCACTACAGAAGCTTTTTTCCCCTGGAAGAAACAAGGCACTGCAGAGGTTTTAGCTTGTCCTCTGAAGCATGTGTTACTCGAATGAGAGAACACTGAAAAGGGTGGACTAGTGTCTCTCTCCCTGTGCAGAAGTGCCTGCATATCCCAAGAACACTAACTGTCTTAAAAAGAAACCAGAAGCTTTTGGACAATTTTCAATGGTAATGAACTGCACTATATTAAAAACAATCCTTCTCCAGACCATTGGATCATACCTCTTATTCACCGCACAAAGGTCTTCAGAGAGGAGTGTACAAAGCAGTGTAAAACAAGTAATGTAAAACACAACCTGAGTTATGAAGTTTATTTTCTCTCACACTGTCAGCTCTAACAGCATGTTGCAGTCAGTATGTAGAAATCAGTGCAACAAATAACTGTCTTTTCTGTCCAAATCATCTCTCTAGACATAGCAAGGCTATAACAACAGAAAAGCGTTAATTTCAGTTCTTTTAAGTATTAAACAAACTGTATTTAAGTTAATAAGGGCATTGCTACCTGTCATATGGTGGTGGCAGTGAGAAATGGAAGAGGCAGGAAAAGAAAAACACAAGGAAATCTAACTCTGCCTGCTTGGTCATCTTTCTGCAGTAGCACTTTTCCTTATGACTCTCCAGAGAAAATAGGCCAAAAGATCATTTCCTAACTATAAAGAGAAGGATATACTGTTTGGATCTAAGGGAAGAAGAGGAAATGTGGATATATTTCTGCTTGCATTGAAATGAACCTCAATATCTTATATAAAATAAGTTAGTAACAGGCTGGAGAAAGATGTAGAAAGCTGCCTGGATTGGGACAAGAAGCATTTTTGCAGTTAAGACTTTTTACCATGACTAACTTTGAAAATTTAATTACAAACATTGATACTCTGAGGTCCTGACGAATCCTACTGTGTGATTTTGTAATTCCTCACTTCTAGCACATTCACAAAGAATGCACTGTATCTGGGAAACTGTATCAGCTACAAACAGTACCTTAAGAAACAAATCACAGCAAACAGTGAAACAATATATTCATCCAGTTACTTTGCAAAGTTAAAGTAGCTGTTACAGTTCTCTTCAAATTTATTGTCACATGTGGCCTTGTATGACAAATTAGCCTGCTATAAATACATTCTCCTGTACTTTACTTGTGTGCAAACCTAGAGGTAGTTCCTACACACCACCACAAAAAAACATCAAATGAAGAAGCTGCCATACATACTATACGTCATAAATACGCAACAAATAATTTCTGAATCATGGAAACATTTATCTGAGTACTCAGAGAAGATTTTTGCAGGTAATTTCCTTGACATCCATGGACACTGAAATTCTAAGCTGATAAAGGATCAGACAATACAATTCTTTTAAAATTTCACTGATTTCACTTTTACAAAGGATTCTTATGAAAATATGAAACCTTGGTAACAAAACAGAGGATTGCAAAAATCAAATTTCATGGCATGGACCAGAAACCATCCGTCACCAGACACCTACATGAGGATGTTGTATTGACGGAAGTTGTTCATTCTAAACAACATAACAAGACTAGAGTACAGCTGAAACGGGCAAACGCAGCGGCTACATCACAAACAGCAGGACCACCCTTGTTGCACACCGGTTATCCACGCAACTCTGCACTCAGTTAAACGGCCTCTTAGAATGCAGAGCAAGTAACTTGGTGCTACACTGTTCATCCTCAACTTCCCTACAGCGGGCAGAGATTTTTACTGGGAGCTAAGCTGCAAGACTGGGGATCAAACTAATACGTTTGGCTGGATCTGTCTGGTGTCATTTTTTTTAACGTCACCTCCTAACTGCTGTCAAGCTGCACAGGAGAACCGTTGCTGAGGAGCAATTTTACAGTGGGAAGCAAATACAAATTTGTTCCTACTTGGTATTAAGGAATACTCCGAGGGACATGAATATGTTACTCTGAGAAGAGGAAATGCATGCAGAAAAAGAAAGTATTATTAAGGTGCAAATGACGAGAGACAAACCAAGAAATACAAAGGAACAGGACAACAGTCATTTTGGCCAGAACTCTTATGTTGTTTCACTCCTCTACCAACGTTAATTTCTGACAAAGAGAAGAACAAATTACATGCAGAAAAAGCCTTAACTACCAAGTCCAAACATCCTGTCCCATTTCCCCCAACTTACACCTCAGGTCTGCCTATCTCTGAACGTTCCAGACTCTGTCAGAGCACAGCTAGACAAGAAAGGAATATCCCCTCGGCCTTGCACATGGCACTGTATTTGCATATCACAACATTGCTATCATATCAGATTACAATTTGACAGGCAAATTGTAGCTCATTATTTTATGCTTTTCTTTTGAAATTCACTATTTTTTTTTAATTGTAAAGTTATATATTTATTTTTAAAAGTTATTGCAAGACCCTGGCACTTTTTGACTAGCTGAGAAACTACTTTTCTGAAGTCCTAATCTAGGAGGAAAGAACTGGTAGTATCACAGAGAAATAAAAGGAGACATCAAGGCTTTGCTATGCACTGTGACCAGAATAATCTTGAACAATCATGAAGTCAAACAGAATTTCTATGACAAATTTATCTTTTTTTCAGTTTAAAAAAAGAAGAAAAATACACACACTTAAAAAGCAGCAAATATTCTGCATAATACAAAGATGCTAGCTTTATGTTGTTATAGCAGCTGTAGACAATCTTTTCACAATCTTTTAATAAAGAAGAAACAAGTTTTGAAGACTTAAAGGTGATGTTTATATTCCCACACATTACTACTGAGGAGTGGGGCAGGGGACTAATAGCCAAACAAACTCAAAACTTACTCCAACTCCTTCTGTAACTGCTGGTACTGTTCTGTTATCTTTTTATTTTCATCCTGCAAGTTGTTCTTTTCATTCACTGCAATTTATAGGGGAAAGAAAAAGAGGAAGGAAAAAAAAAAATCAGTGCACACGTTAATATTCTAGCATATCTGATTTTGTCAGGTCCCTCAAGGAAACAGAACCAACGCTAAGATGTAATACCATGCGCTCTCTATGGCTTTCCAAAATGAATTTTCCAGCTAGTCATGAAAAAGGTTGTAAAATGACGTGTTAGAAGAGGCAAAGCTGTCACAATTACTGGATCCCAGCATTAGTTCTACACAACCATTAACTACTTTTGCCCATGAACATATAAGTGAGACTGTCGTAGAGATGAATTAATTGCTCAGCTCCACGGACAAAACTGCTTCCTTAGGTTGAAGACAGCCTATGAAGAACAAAGTAATAAGAATTTGGTTTTAGCCACCTATGCGACCAGCTAGTCTGAGAAAATGGAAAACAAAAAACCCCAATGACTTAAAAAAAAAAAATCAGTTATTTTGTCAGGAATTTTTAATTTACTTTTCTTAATTTCCAGTTCATGCTGTCTGTACTTCACACACACTTTTTGCATCACCTTTAGCCTTTTTTCCAAACTGCCTCAAACTAATCTAGTGATAGCTCCTAACTTTTCTGTTCACTTTAATTTTTTTTTTCTTGTCCTTACTTTTCTGTTGTATATTTCACCTCTGGATTACTCTTGACTGACCCTTTTTGATGGTTGCAGGAAATACATAAGCTGTCATATAGATCTCAACCCAAACCCTTGGAAGACTACTGTTCTGTCAAATAGTGCTCAAGAAGATCAGTACCTAATTAGGTATCATCTAAATTTTTAAAGCTCTGAGATTTATTTAAAGATTGGTTGTACTCTGTTGGTTGTTAGTCATTAAACTCAAGAATTCAAAATATTTTTAATATAAATATCCAATATTAAATGTCCTTGAAAAATTGATGTATTTGATGTTAGTAAAGCATCTAATATTTCTATAATTTCAGCACTGAAAAGCTACTTTTCATGTCCGGTCTGTCCATATTTTAAATCTTACTGAATGTCAGCCTGCTCTTTATCAAACAAGACAACTAAATGACACAGAGTAATTAATTACTGGCAAAGACACAATTAACATTTTAAAATCCTGTCCTGTGTTTCTTAGCAGTTTATACAACCAATCTTCCTAAACTCTCTTTATGAAGACATTTGTTGTGTCCTGCCTTCATGTCACCCAGAACAGTTTACTTTTTCCTGTCCCATATGTACAACTTCCTGATTGCAAAATGAGCTGGCTACAAGTTGCCTGGCATGCAGCAATTCTTTTGTGGCTTCAGAGGATGACATGAAGGTTATGAGTTACTGTGATTAAACTCTGAGACCAACTACAGGACACAAGCCAGTGCCAGGGAACTTCTCTTTGAACTTGTTGCTTTGTGATCACCAGTTACCTTTGAAGTCAGGGTTTCCTTAGGAAAACTGGCACTCAGTCACTCTATGCTTTAGCTGTAGTAATAAACAGAAGCAGCCACATTTTATCTACATTATCTACTTTACAGTGTAAGATTTTCCACATCAGTTCACTTTCGGTATCAGCACTTCAATCTAAGAAGGTTGGGTCAAATGACTAACAATTGGTATGTAGAATTAAGTATCCCCCAACTGAACTTGGGCTTACTAAACACACCATATAAATTATAGCAAGTTACAGGAATTAATGAGGAACTAGTTTACAAAATAGCACATTTTGTCTTCAAACTCATAGATAAAACTCACTAAGCTCGGTGATAAGTTTCAGATTCTGCTGCCGGATATTTTCAAACTCTTGCTGCTTCTTTCTCATATGTTCTTCGGTTACAGCACAGCGATCACATAATCCCGCTCTTAATCTGGAAATATATTAAGAGAAAAAAGTCACTCTTAAAAAGTATTGCCATACGTGAAGCAGATCTCCACACTTAACTGGCCTTTTGAACAATGAAAACCAGAATATTTCTGTCAACTGTGCAGAGCGCCACTAAGCACTGCGGTTTGTATCTTGGCATCACAACAGTTTGAGATTTCTGAACGATCTAATACTACATGCACCAACGTTTGCATAAACGACTGTAGGTACTGGATACTCGTAAAGCAACACGCGCTACTTCAGCAGAGCATACTACACCTTGCCACTGAAAGCCTTTGTGAGGTGTCCTATTGCTGCCCTAGTACTGACAGATATAAATTACCATTCATTGTAAGTAAGGGTCATACAAGCAAATACAAATAAGCAAATAATTTCAGTAAATATAGTTACTACATCATCTAAGCAAGTCATATCTCTATCATTAAGCAAAGTAATAAGGACAACACTAAATTCACTCTGTAACGAAAACCAATCAAATGTGAAATCCTTTATTTTTCTTTAGACACCAATACTTAAAGTGGATCCAAAAGTCCACGTGTGGCATCGCATCCACTGTCTACAATGGTTTAGAAGAGCTGTTTAAAGCATATCCGCTATCAGAAAAGGATTTGTGATCTCTCCATCTTACTGGACACATTCCTTCATGCAATGAAATGTGTGTTCATTTTACACGCCATAACCGAAGTGTATTTATTTCTAGTACACACCAAAAGGCTAACAGTATCACCAAAGTGAAAACCACACTCCCCTCTACCTGCTAAATAAGAGACCAACTGGTTCAAGGTTCTGCATTGCTGCTGCTAGCACATGAAGTATTAAAAAAAAACAAAACACCACCCCACCCCTAAGTTTTCAATTCCATAGTTGAATATTGGAAGCAAAAGCCATCTTGGTTTACAGGTATTTTAATACTCTGGAATCATGGAAAGAGTAAAATACTGAAATTCCTCTTCATGCTAGCTTATCTGACTAACTGTGTAATAAACACAGTATTATCAGCTCCCTGTATGAAATCACTTTAAATCTCTTTTTGTTCTTTTGAAGTACTTCATCTGCTAAGGGATTAAAAAAGAAAATCCACTCTGCAAGTGTCTCTCTACCTATGTGGTGTAAAAGTTTATCACCTGCACAGTTACAAGTTTATCCCTAATGACTTCCACAGAGAAACACCACTGAATGCAAAATTTGAGTATCATAGCTCTAACATTTGAAATAGCACAGGAATGTGGGAAAATAATTTACTATGTAATGATTTCCTGTTCCCAGAAAGCTTCTGAGGGCCTATTAGCTGTAAATTTAAGAGACACTTTCCAAAACAGGTATCGTTTTTAAAGGATGGAAAAAATGCACTGTCTATTGGTTTTGTTTTGCTCTACCAGATTTAACAGGAACAAATGAGGGAAAGGCAGTATGGGTCAAAAGGTGATCAGAATGTCTAAGTCCAAAAGAAGGCAAAAGGCAGAACGTATGAGTAAATCTAGGTAAAATAGACAATTGGTAGAAAAGACCCCCACCCAAACCTAAAAGATTTCCTAGTGAGTTAATTAATGAGTTTCAAAGTATATTATATACTTTGCCCTTCATTTTTGCACTTGCGCTACATGTGAATTGATATCAAATTTACCCCTACAAAAATGGAGAGAAAAGAATGTGCTTGAAAATGGCTGTCTGCCTCCCAAGCCCATCTATTTACTTTAACTAAGCTAAGCGCTTCAAAAATAACAATATAAAAATTTAATTCAGTCAGAAGAATCTAAATTCTACAGTTTTTCTTTAAAACACACTATTTGGATTATAATAGGAAAGGACTGATTTACAATTAAAAAAACCCAGAACCAAACCACAAACAACTTGCAAAGTACCCAGAGTTACTCTGTAAGAGCAAAACACAAACAACCCAGAAGCTAAAAGATGCTACTTCACCTGTCTTCCAAAACCTTGATAGTGTCATGAAGTGCTTTTTGCTGTTCTCTGAGCTGCTGGTTCTTGGTATAAAACTCTTCAAGTCTCTCTGCATCCCTAAAATCAAATAGAGAAAAGTTAGTTCTGGCTTTAAATCACACTTTCAAAGTTATTAGTTTTTCAATAGAGAATTCTCTGGCATGTTTCTTTCACATTATTGGCAAATGTGGTTATCATCAGTGCAAATACTAAGTTGACAAGAAATGAAACAGGTGTTTCTGATGAATGGTAATTTAGAAATGTCTGAGTTAGGAAAGGAGCAGCTAATTAATTTCTAATTCATATTACAGTTGAGCTCCTGTTGATAAATCTGATGTTTTACTCAGGACAAAAATTAAAGTTGATGACGGGTAACACATAAAAGCTAATAGTATTCAAGCAACAATTTCAGGGAACATAAGCTCAAGCACTTCCCTTATTTTACTGTGCAGCCAAGCTGTTGGAAGCTCATTGGGGCTTTCACAATCAGGTCATTTTGGTCTTGTCATAGCAGCGAGTACTTCTTGCAGCGTGGCAAACATCACCAGGTTTGCAAAGCTCTGACAAGTCTTTAGATCCATTATAGGCTTTGTTACTCAAGAAGCAATCCCTAGTGTCTATAGAGCACGGATTCCCGTAATAGGAATGCAGGGAAGAGAACTCTCTTCCCAAAGACATAAATAGAAGATCTTCGGAAAATACCTTCTTTAAAAGCCAGGACTATTTAATCAGCAAAGAACATTTCCTCCTCAAAAGTGCTAAGAAAAAGCAGTAACATTAACTTCCCAATTTCATCTCTCTTTCACTTTTATTGTCAAATCACACCACCTCTTCAAGATGTAAACAAGTATCAGCACACATTTTCTACAAGGAAATTAACTTTCAGTAAAAGATAAGGAGTTGAATCTATGTAACATGACCATGACTAACTTCTGAGAATTCATTCCCAGCTCTTCTTTTTACCA